CATTTTTCTCATTCAGTTGACATCCCAACTGATCGATCGACAAGGTGTGAGTATGTATGTATCAGGTGCGCATTGACCACTGCACATTATATATTGCAATCATTCCATCCGAGAATTGTATTCTAGGATCATTTCCAGCCATGTATAATTCATTAGTTGGGTATGACGATACACAAACATCATGGGTTGTGGAAATCAGCGGCGGAGGATTTAAAATTTTGAATGTGGATGGTCTAATTCTCGGATAAACTAAAAAGGGAAAAAATATTAGTCAATTTTTTAGATGGCTAGGACTTGAAATTTTGAATAGAGATTGTCTAATTCTACTGGAAAAAATCACTTAATTTCTTCGACGGCCAAGATTGCCTTGAGATTCATACACGAACATTACACATTATCCTCTCGTATCATTTTCCCCTCCCTAGTCCCAACGCACGGGATCCATCAGGCACTACCCTCCTCCTCTCGACTGGCTGCGTCGACAATAGCCTCGCCAGCTAGCCGAAAGCCATCTAGCAAGGCCCACCCTCCTACCCACCTCCCGCTCCCCTCCTTGCTCTCCCTCTCTCTTGCCCTCTTCCCCATTTACGGCGGCCCATTGCTGCGAATCGAATCCTTCTTCGAACCCCATGCCTCCCTCGCCCCCACCATCAACCATGTCCATTGTCTCCTTTAGCCCCATAGCTTCAACGGTGGCCCCACCTGCCCATCGCCGCTGCCCAAGACCATCCCTCTAAGCCCCGGAGAACTCCCCCTCTTCCACCCTCCCCTAGGCCCTCCTCCCATCATAACCCCCACCCCAAAACTTTAAACTCTAACATCACCACCACCGTCACACCATTGCTGGAGAAGATGACCTTTGCCATCGCTTCCACCACCGGGGAGCTAGTCGCCATCACCACTGAGTTCCTCCCCTCATCCCTCCCTAATTACAGTACTAGATTGAAGGTGACTGAACACTAGCATTTCCCTTCTGAAAGATAGGATTAAGAATAACGCAGGCATGGCTAATCGCCTATGTATGTGGATATCACAGGAGATAGTAGATAGATGGATCATGGATGGTCGGATGGACAACTCAGTTTATATCAAAGACAAGAAGAAGAACGCCGATTGATTTGATTAATTAATGGGGGCCCTTAGGACTTGATGGTGCAACTTGTCATCCATTGGCGCCTAACTGCAAAATTTCAACGCAGGCATCACATCTTGACAGGCTCACACAATATTCACTGATGGGTTTTGATTGATACACTGCAGAAGAATCAGAGATGCAATCAGTGGATGTTTCAATGATTTTTAGTAGTATTTGTTTTTGGAGTAGAAATCAGTGAATGTGCCGACGCACACTGCAGTGCTTCTGCATCCTGAAACAGTGGTTTCAACTGTACATGTGTGTTTGCATCATGCAAAGATTTATTATTTTTAAGAAAAATATAAGTCTTCTGCCGACTTGCCTAGCAACAAGACAAAGGCTAAAAAGTTATGTGTTTTTATTCACTTTGATTGGATTAATTAAAGCCATGTGCATAAGATTGGGTCTTCTAATCTCCATTTCATGCTACAGGATTTCTTTCACAACAAGATAAAAACTAAACAAGAACATAGTACATCAACTGGGTAGAAATTAACTGGCTACCCTGATACAATGGACTGAAACTATCACAAACACTTTTTGCAACCGCAATATAGATCCACAAAATTTTTTTTTAAAATTTGTTCATCAATAACATTAGAATTTTATTTTCAATAACTATTTTGACAAAAAAGATAAATGATACTCTAATCTCACACCTAATGACATGCAGTTTACTCCCTCCATCTCAAAATAGTTGTTACTACTTATCTCATCAAACACATTGTTAACCGTAAAAGTTGGCATACACCGTTAGTTAAGGAGAAAGTCAAAGGCGGAATTAACGGCGTGATTTCGGTTGTCAAGAAACAGAGATTGCATCGGCTACCATTGACATCGGGTTCATGATTATAGAGATGGCCGATGAATGATGATTCAGGGCCGGAGGTCGAGTTCTTGTCAGATTCGGTTGAGAAAATTAGTCAATTAAGGAAAATAAATTATCTAGAAGAGACCAGATTCAAAAGGGCTTAGATGTGGCAATTTATCTATTAATTAAGCGGAGTTTTTTTTCCTTTTATATTTTTAGGAAAGATTGTTTGAATCCAGTTTGGACTTATAATTTTACTTTATCTTTAGAAAAGTTTGTATCATGTCCAAGAATGACTAGTATCTACTCATGGGTATAAATATGTACACCCAGGGTCTTTGTAAACAACAACAGTTCAAAAATACAACTTCTGGTGCATCGCTACCCTAGTTTTCTAGGTTTTCAACTCGACGAGTTCTTTTTTTTTTTTATTTGGGCTGCATTGGTTGAGTTTGATCTCCAGCAATAAGGTAAGCTCCGTCTATTTCGTTTGTATCGTCGGGGCTAGTGCTTCCGTCGGATGGAACCAACACACTCTAATTCAGTCGATACAAGCTTTATTTATCATATGCATTAGCTAATCTAACTTGATAATATTGTTTGACTTTTATCAGTTAATTCAAATTTGAGTAAGCCGATACTATTCAAACCATATTTTTGCTTTGGAATAGTTAATGTATCTACCACCATGAATATAGCAATTATCAGCTTGTTTAGAATAGTTAATGTATATACCACCCTGAATAAAAATATGTGTTTTTATTCACTTTGATTGGATTAATTAAAGCCATGTGCAGGAGATTGGGTCTTCTAATCTCCATTTCATGCTACAGGATTTCTTCACAACAAGATAGAAACTAAACAAGAACATAGTACATCAACTGGGTAGAAATTAACTGGCTACCCTGATATAATGGACTGAAACTATCACAAACAGTAAAAAGAACAAGCCATGTCCCCTTTTTATTACCCTTTTTCAGAGCAAAAAGTTTTCACAAGTCTTCTGCGTCAACGTTAAGTAACTTTCATTGCTCCATACGATCATATCTTGATGTCGCAAAATGCTGTTCACCTGTTGTCTTCATCGTAAAAGTTAGCCACACAAAGTACAATTATCAACATGTTTGTCAATATAAACAATAGTTTTTCTTTTTCAGAATAAAAAAGGAGACAAAGATTTGGGAAGAATCCATTGTACTAAGTAGAAGCATCCACCAAGCTGATGAAAGGACGTGTGATTACTGTTAACTGAAAGTCTGAAGCTGCAAAACCATGGATTCGAATTCGCCGCCAGAAACTGTTCATCAAAGGTAATCCAAAACCGCAGCTGCTGCAACATCTCGCCCTAATCCAATGCAAATCCTATTGCTATCACCTAGGAGGAAAAAAAATGCCATGAAACTGAAGCTACAGACAAATGGGATGCCAGTTGGGTTCTCTCAAAGAAAGGGACGTGTGTTTGCTCGATCACTTCAAAAGAGTGCAGATACATTCTGAATTCAGAATTTCAGAAGATCAGAAGTCTGAAAAATTCAGAAAAGCAGATAACATTCTTGTTCTTCTTCTCTTCTTCTTCTTGAAGTTGTTATGATCTTCAACGAGCTACCATGACCTACATATATGGTCGGTCACAGCAGATGGAGACTCAGCTCACGTCCGAGGCAAACGTCATACCAAACTTTTCCCATGTAGAAACAATCTTGTTAAAGAAATTCAGCAAAAAGCTCAATGCAAGATTGAAAAATCAGTAGAGGCAAGATCTAGGAGGAGCATGCATTTCTCTGTGGAATCAGACGGGGATCAAGAAAACGACATGAGCAATCCCTTTCCGGTAGGGGTAAAGAGATCTAGAGCTCACCGACGAATTGAGCATTTTTATCCGTCGCGTTCGTCCGTTGCTGCAAGCAAACCAGATATTAGCATAAGAAATTACCACTGAGCGATCGAATGGAAACGTTTTTCAGTTTTTCGTATGGACTTGAGTTGAACCACGCGAACGCTAGGAAAGCGGCAGGGAAGACGCTGTCAGATTTTTTTCTCTCCCCCTCTGTAAAAAAAAATCTAGGGAAGCCAATAGTATAATGAGAACCTTTACACGACTCCGAACATCGCATTTAGCACTGCTTGATAAGGAAAACTTTAAATATGTGGTATCTTCTCAATGACGATAAAACATGCACTCTACATGCAAAGATATAATGGTGAGTGATTGCTACTTTGTTTAGCTGGATGCTTTCAGATCCGCGAATTTCTAATTCATCTATCAGATGTTGCCAGCAAGGTTCTAGGATTCGGACTGAAAGGTCTGTAATTCGGTGAATTTGATCCATTTTGGTGAGGTTAGAGACAACATTTAACTCCCATTTTGTCTGAATTTGATTCAAATTTCCGAATTTCGTCCATTTCGGTAGAGGCATGAGTTTTTATGCAATCGGATCCCAGAACCCCCTTTCTTAGAACTTAAAAAAACTTTGATCAAACTTACAAAATTTTAATTTATTTTATAAAAATAAACGAATGAGTAGTGAGGACAAGGAGTGAAAAAAACAGAGTCCACAACCCCAAAGTAGAGCAGCACTACACTTACAAGTATCCACATGTTTTCTCCCCAGAATTCAATCCAGTTAGTAGGAACAGAATCACTCCACATCCATCTTTTCCATCAAAACAGAACAAGAAAAAGGGGGAATAATTATGTGCAGCCTGCACTACCCAATCTGAAAATTCTGAATTGCTGGGAGAAAATTAGGAAAAAAAAGGTAATAACAAATTCGTTTGCAGGAGCATCCATCCATAGAGAATCCTGCATGAGTGGGCGCCGAGGCCCCATCCGTTTCTGAAGCTTTGTCCGCCTTTTCAGTAACACTGGTAGCTCAGCTTACCATCCTCAATCCTTTCAAGAAGAAGTAGAAAGAAGAGAAGTAACCAATTCTGCTGTGCTGCACAGTGAAATGCTGCAAAAAATTTCCCTCTTTTCTCACCTCACCTCAATAATTGGACAGCTCTTCTTGCACAGTTCATAGTATTTACATGCAGACAGTAATACAAACAGAAGAAGAAGAAGCTCAAGTAATATATATGTGTAGTATATATGTATTTTATTTACATCTCACACCTCCAAAATCTTATTCTACTACAGTAAACTGGGTACAGAGATATAATAATACTCATACAAGTATGTACAACAACAAGCACACCACACACTGATCAACTTTTCCTTGGATTTTTTGCTCTGCAGCAAAACACCAAGGCAAAAGCTTACCACTGCTCATATGTATCTCCTCATACTGAATTATACTAAGTAGTAGTAGTAACTACATGGCTGCAGTAGCTATATGCAGACCAAATCTCGTCAAAATTAAAATCCTAATATCCAAGAAGAAAACAAGAAGGAGTAACAAATCGAATGAAGGTGTGCAGTGCAGGTAGGAGGAAGGTAGCAATCAACGGTGACTCAAACACACCCAAGAGCAAGAAAGATGACGACGAAGAGGAGCTAGCTCGAGCTCGAGCTCGAGCCATGGCGATGGCGATGGCGAGAGAGAGGGTGAGAGGGAGAGATCACCACTTGCCGTCGACGGCGCGGGAGCACTTGCCCTTGATCCACTTGACGCTGCGGCGCACCGAGTCCTTCACCTTCCCTTCCACGTCGTACGCCTTGTAGGCGACCAGCCGCTTCCGCCGCTGGAGCTCGGCGTCGTCGACGACGGCGCCGGCGAAGCTGCCCGTCGGCGACACCTGCTTCTTGGCCGGGATCGGCGGCGCCACGGCGGTGTCGTCCAATGCCGCGAACGACGGCGTGTACCCTCTCAGGTTCACCGACCGCCGCCCCGCCGACGACGCCCACGTCGCCGCGCCACCGCCCCCGCCGCCGGTCTTCTCCGCCGGACTCGGGTCCTCGAACGGCGAGTACGACGCGGCGTACGACGCGCTGTAGCTCCGCAGGTTGAACCCGGGCGTCGGCCCGCCGCCGCCGCGGCCCCACCCGGCGGCGGAGGACGCCACCGTCTTGGTGCTCCCGCTCCGCTGCACGCCGCCACCGCCGCCCGGCCGCGACCACGCGTTGGCGCTCGTGGCGCGCTTCATCACCTTCGTCGTCGTGTTCGTCCCCGCCCCCGCCGCCGCCCCCGCTGCCGCGCCAGCGCCCGGCTTGTACGACGTGGCGTACGACGCGCTGTAGCACCGCAGGTCCGCGGCCGCGCCGCCGCCGAACGCCGCCGGTGGCCTCTCGGCGCACGACACCGACCTCTCCATTGGCATCTTCGGCTAAGCTTCGAAATTCTTTTCGAGGAGGAGAAGAGAATGGCAGCGAGGCGAGGAGCCGAGGAGGGGCCAATTTATGGGCGCGAGATCACCCGGATCCGATAAAGGGGGAGGCTTAGCGGGTACGGGTCTAGGTAGCAGCCGTGCATTTGCTGACCCGTCGGATTCGGAAAACGACGTGTCATATTTAGGATTTAAAGCTTTGCCTGATAATGGACACTTGGGTACAGCATCAAGAGCCGATCGAACGTGTTCATCTCAACATATAAAGAGAAAAGGAAAAAAAATATGACGTGTCAGTCTTGGATATGCCACAATTGTTTCTGGCGATGTTTTTAATTCTTTTTGTTTTGAAAAACTCGGGAATGTCTTCTTATTATTACGTGTCAAATTGTTATGGTAAACATTTAGGTCGCGACTGCAAATCAAACGTCCGATCTGAAAGGAAAAAAATGTCGAGCGGTATTTTATCGCTTTGGAGAAAAATATTTTATCAAATGTTTTAACTAACTTAATCAGATATTTAAAAAAGATAGATCATTTAAAAATACGTATTGATTACTGCATCAGCCCCAAAATATAAGAAATTTTAGGCATAAACATGGGTATTTAAAATGTAGGTGTGTAATTAAATGGGAACATGTTTTGATTTGTTGAGTAGAAAAACCAGATGTAGAATTTGAATGGCTGTGATTCGTTGAGAATGGAATGTAGGTGCAGAAATTATTATATTTTAGGATAAATTTTGAACGTTAGAAGTTATTGTATTTTAGGATGAAAAATACTGAATGCAACACCAACAACCTACTATATGAAACATTGAGCCCCAATAACAAAAACATATAAAGTAAAATCAGAACATAAAATATGTAACAGAGTTAAATTCTAATTGGAACTGTTCTGGTTTAAAGATACATTTTTCTTTCATCATAATATAATTATATGAAACTTGTTATAAAGATTTAATTACGACGGTATAATTAGATTGTGAATGTGAAAAGTTTAAAGTTTAAATATTTTGAAGTTTAAACTTTAAACTTTAACTGCGATGGTATAATTAGATTGTATGAGGAAAAATGTTTAAATTTTGTAATAAAGCTCATGTATACATGCGTGCAGAGAGAGCCTAGCTATGTGGAGCTAGACCACCACAGGCGTATCCCTCACAAATCACAATGATGGACTCTTAACACCGGGACGGCAACAAAGGAAGTGACCTTGTTGCTGTAGGAGCTATAGGAAATACGACTTAGTGGAGGAGGACATTCGGAGCTTTAGGGCACGCTCTGTACGTGGTGCGAGGAGCTATGGCCTGTTTGGTTGTTTACTTCAACTTACCAAGCCACAAGTACGGCCATGCCATAAGTGTGGCGGACGATTTGAGCACCAAACATTCAACGAAGAAATATGCGGCAGAGTAGTTCACTGCTATTGAATTTTATGCGGCCGCCTCAAGTGCAGTAAGTAAACAAACAGTGGGCTACCTACCTGTGGCACGCCTAACTTGAAGTGCGGCAAGAGGAGGCAACCATCCAATTAAACAGGCCACTAGTGTCGGAGGGGTATGTATGGGATGCATGAGGGCATGAGGCAGAGCCTTAGCGCACGCTCTACACGTGTTGCGAGGAGCCAACGAGGTGAAGACGACTTAGGGCGTCATCGAGCTAGTACCTAGGGAGTATCGGGTCTGATACTGATGGGTATTAGCTATTTCCTATATGGTATCAACTCATCCGAACGGGATGACATGGTGCCTCCAATGCTATTATCCCATTTGATAAAAGGATTTATCCATGTTTTTCATGTCATGTCGATTGGGGACAGCCATTTACATCCACATTACGTGAAAGTACTATGGTTGAATGTGTCGAAAATTCACGTCGATCACATGATAATATTGCAGATGAAAGATTCAATTTGGGGGCGTACAATAATGGGAAGAAGGTGGCTCTCAATTTTTGTAGGGACAGGTGCTGCCGGTGGTGGTAGTGGTAGGGGATGGAGGTCGATCGTTGCTTGCTTTTTGTGTTTTCTTAGCGTTTCTTTTGGCCTGCTTCACTAGTTCAGGATGAGATTTTGTTTGTCTGCGTGTGCACAAATCATAGGGGATTCAGTCAAAAGTGCCTGGGAATGTATGCGTGCGTGCGTTGTCTTGTTGCTTCCAGTGTGCAACTGCAGTTGTGCAGTTGTGTACGTGTGCTCAGATGATGTGATGAGAGAAAAAAAAGGAGCATGAATGCAGGGGAGGATAGCCTTTTCAGACCACTCTGTTTTTATCTTAAAAATGTGAAAGTTAAAAGATAAACTTATCTTGTGTGATTTCCTTTTTTTCATGTGCTGTTGTTTTCAGAAAAAAAATGACAAAACTTTTTTTAAGACAAGTCCTGTTTTTATCTGAAAATGTGAAAGTTCAAAGATAAACAGATCTTTGTGTAATTCCTTTTTTTAGATGACTGTTCATGTGTTGTAGTTTTCAAAAAAAAAAGGATGAAAAACTTTTTACAAGAAGCAAGCAACTGTCATGACAGGAATTACTCTATGTTATGCATTAGAGAAAGACAAATTGCCCTGCACTATACATATATTGTGTAAAGCTGAAGCAATTTTTTTTTTAAGAAATAGATGATAAATGAAGTAATATTGCTGCTGGCATTATCTTTTGTAGGAAAAGGGAAAAGATGTAGGTTTGTGTACATTGGACAGATGGCAGGCCAGTAGCAACTATGCACACATGGTCCTAGTACCACGTGAGAAAAGAATGCGCTGAGTTATGCAGGGTATGGTCATGACTCATGACTCATGAATGAATGAACAGAGTCTCATCTCACGAAAATCCAATAGAAAAACAAGCACATGCAACTGACGACCTGACGTAAAGGAGCGAGGAAAAAACAAATTTCAATCCATTAAATTTGGATTACCTCTTACTCCCTCCAGATCGTATTATAGGTCGCTTTGATTTTTTAAAAATTATTTTTAAATTCAATTATATTTAGAAAATAATATAATAACATAAAAAATCAAACTAGCTGATAGTTACTATGGTGTCAATGCCTAATGAACTGTGGATGGCTATAGTGCTGGTAAGCCAGAGGTAATGATCCAACGGATTGTGGATGCACAAAAATATCTTGTTTAAGGGCATATAAACTTTATTGTCACATTCAACCTTATCAAGTTTTAGCATTACTAAATTTTTGTTATTTTAGCAAACTAAACATAGCTTTACCATTGCTACCGCCGCCGGCCATTGGAGCAGATGGATCCGCTGGCTTCGAGCGGCAGCCGGCTTTGGACGGCGGTAGCGGAGGTGGTGGGGTAGCTATGAATATGGTTAGGGGATTGGGGCTAGGCTTTTTGTAATTTGCTTAAAAAATATTTTTATTTTCACCAAAATTCTTGTGCAGGTGGGCGTTTTCCGTGGGCGAAAATAAGTTTTTCCATTCTGTTGCGATACCCGCCTGCAATAATCGGTATTTTTACATATACCAGATAGATGGCCGTTTCGTCTGTCCGAAAAAGCGATTTTGTCCGTCTGGGAAAAGCATTTTATGTTGTAGCAAATAAAATATACTTCCTCCGCTTCACAACGTAAGTCATTATAGCATTTCCCACATTTATATTGATGTTAATGTATATATGTCTAGATTCATTAACATCAATATAAATGTAGAAAATGCTATATGTCTAGATTCATTAACATCAACATGAATGTGGGAAATGCTAAAATAACATATACTGATATACTGTGAGACGGAGGGAGTATATCCGAGTAAATAATATCGATTATTGGCTGAGAGAGGGTGAGGGAGTGAGAGAGAGAGAGAGAGAGGACAGGTGCAGCTGTCGATGGAGGGCATTGAATTAGGCGAAAGGCGATACCCGGCCGGCCGCGCGAGCGAAAGCCACAGCACACAAATGGAGTAGTAGTGGTACTATCTTGGTTGCTGGGGCGACACGTACGTTGATTTGAGACTACTCCACGTTGCGTTCCCGCAAAGCTATCCGCAACAAAGGATTAGTGCTGCTCTGCCCATCGATCCATCCGTCCGCATCGATCCATCGTGGCATCGTACGTATCGCGTGCTCGATCGCTAGCTCTGGGGCACGCGCGCTAAAAGAAAAAAAAACGAATAATTCACATCTTTTCGCACGAGATTCGCTGTACAGAATGTGTCATATCCACCTAAAATATCTTATATTGTAGGACGAAGAGATTATATTTGATTTGAAAAAAAAGTTAATAATAGATTATCATAAACGCACATTTAACATTTTTTTGAAAAATATTTTTAACACTTTTGTGAGTATATGGCCAAAAGGATAGATGATAAAGCATGTAAAAGTTTCACAAAAAGATCGAGCATGCATATTAGATCCTGATATCAAACTGAACTTATTCATGGCAAAGTAACATTATTGTCATATATCGACAAAACATCGTGACTTTACGATGATATGTCCGATAGAAAAGGTGATATTTTGCGGCAGTATTTAATTTACTATCTGCCACCTCGACAAAAAAAGTATATCGTTAAAGTAAATTAGTTGGCTAGCTTCTTTTACAACTGATATAAGTGGTTTACATAATAAATTGATAATATATTTTAGTTGTGTGCATCCTACATAGGCTCAGGATGTACGTAATTTATTTTCCTTATCTTAAATAATTCACCAGAATTTAAATTAATTTTTTTTCTAACGATCTGACGAGGCAATTTAATCTGTTTATCAAGACCGTAGTGGGAAATGTGGCTGCAACGGCTCGGGACTAGTCATTCAGCTCGATTTTCAGCATCTGCAGCCGAGATCGATCGCCTCTCGACATCTAAAGGCTATTATATAGGCGTGCTTGCTGTTTCAGGAAGAGACAAACTGCCAAGAAAACGAGACAAAGCTAAATGTACTCAATCCTCTATCTCCTGCTCTTGCTTGTACTTGAGTCTATAGTACTACACCTCGTCGTTTTGTTCGTTCTCTGCAAAAGTTGTCTGTCCATATATACTAGTATTTGCTATCTCTACATATAAATAAGCCCTGGCTATGCACCTACCATAAT